AGATTACAGATAATAAACAAAGAGGCTTAAGAAAGGAAAATGAAGTCAATACAGCAGGGCTGCAGCCATATACACAAGATCAGGAAGGGTCTCAAATAAATGGCAAGATCCAATGGAAATGACCTGGCAACACTTCCCCTCAGTCATGCTTCCCTCCCTTCCAATTACTGTCAAGCCATTAACCTCATCTCCAAAAATTCAAAAACCCTGGGAAATATAATACTAGCTGAAAATTAACAAAATGACTGATTTGGCCTACAAAGAAGAGAAAGAAATAAACAAGGAACATGACGTCACTGCAAATGAGAGAACGCTTTCACAAGAGAAATCAAATCAGATGAGAAGTGAGATGACTGACCAGCCAGTTAAAACAAACACAAGCAAGGAAATCACAACATCTTGAAACTAAAGTGAAAGCTTACACATTATGAGAACAAATTATAGAGATGTAAGGGAATAGAAGATTGATATATGACATACAAAGAACAATAAGGAAGAAAAAATAATAACATTAGACAAACTTGTGAGAAAAATGAATAATACAAGAAACAAAAAGAATAAAGTAAAAGGCATACAATAAGCCAGAAAGAGATAACTACAATGCACACAAGATAAACTACAAAAATAATAAAGAATAAAAAGAGATGAAGAAAATAGAAAAGATAGGATAAGAAGTATACATATGTGAGGAAGAACTAAATAAACACAAAAAAAAAAAATAGAGAAATAAAAGAAATAAAAATGCATATGAAAAAGAGAGATTAGAATCAATAACCACATAATTTGAGTTCTAAAACAACTGAAATACAACCAATAGGCAATTAGGAAGTGCAGAAAACATGCTGAGGCAATGTTTGAACTAATAGAATAGAAAACAATGCCTAGATGCCTAGATTTAGAACTTGGTGAAAATTTAGAATTTCAAGGATAAATATTTTAAAACCCTAAGTGCATCTGAGCACAGGGTAAAAAAAGTTATTTTCAGTGAAGCGTTATCAAAGTCAGCTCTTTAAAGACAGACTAGAAACGTAAATTTATATAATTAGCTTTCCTACTAAAAACATGAAGACTCTTAAAAAAATGACTTTAGACCTAAAATTTACATAGTGTCCAAGAAAAACATTTCAAGTGAAAAACGAAAGTTAAAGTAATAAGAGCCACTAATATATATATAATATATATATATTATACACATATAGGGGATTTTAAAATGTGCCAGTCAGGCTAAGAATGCAGCTCAGGGGTAGAGCGCTTGCCCGGCATGTGAAAGACCCTGAATTTGATCACCAGAACTATCGTAAATAAGCAAGCAAGCAAGCAAGGCATGTTCTAAATATCTTATTTGTATTAATGCAATCTTTATAAAAATCAAATAAAATAGGATACAATATTATCTGTATTTAACAAACAAAGAAACTGAGGCACAAAGTCTTAGTTAAGTAACATGCAAAATTACATAGTAGATGGGAGTTGCCAGGGTTTGAACCCTGGGGAGCCTGCCTTCCCCCAGCCTTTTGAAATACCATCCTAAGTTGGCTGTCCTTAAAGTAAAAAGGGCAGCACAGATCAGACATATTCCAACAAACAACAAGATTTATAGTGATAGCAATGTTAGTCATAAAAAAGAGAAAAGATTATCATTCATCAATGGTGAAAGATAAAATTCATGACTGACTATGAAAAAGAAACAATAGCCAGGAGTGCTTTGCAATCGCAGCCCCATAGCTGATATTCAAGGAGTGTCAAATGAATGAACGAATGAATGAGTGAATGAGTGAATGAATGAGTTAATAAAGATGAAAATAGGCAAGAACAGGGGAAAAGCTAAAATAAAAGGAAGCTGGCAAGAGAACAGTAACAAAAATTAAGTACAGTCAGTTCTGCTTATAAATGCTTGTTTTTAAAAGAATTTATTCCAAAGTCATTGATTATATTAAGAATAAATTTTGTATTGTTTGTGTGCTATTCAGTCCCTGAGGGACAGTAGGTAAAGCCAGAAAATGGTACCCAGCTTCACTGAGCCCTATAGGAACACACACATGTGCACAACTCAAACATTCACCAGCTGTTTCTCACCTTATCAATCACACCCATGCATACCTGCTTCACAACTTTCCATCAGACTTCAAGAAACACTTGCCACAATTTCACAATAACTCACAATGAATACTCCTAACACCTACTTCTATAAGCAAATTTTAGGTTTCAAGGTGAACCTACATACTTTTCTACCATTTATATATTTCTTAACCAATTTAAAGTGTATAAAACTCAACTAGCATCTTTTTTAGATTTCCTTCTTAGTTTTTTTTGTATGTATATCATTAATGAGGCTGTTGAGTGGTATGCCCTAATCCCATTTTTTTCCATAAGCCCTGTGGTTTTATTGAACAATTTTGCATAGCACAGTGGTTTTTAGAAATGTGTATGTTCTATGAAAGTAGAACTGTCTGTACACAGATTAGAAAAGATTATACAGATTACAAAATATAGAATTCATGGAAACCCATCAAAATCTACATTCCACAAATACCTCCTCTTCAAATACCAGAAGGTTCATTGACATTGGTCACATATTAAGTCACAAAGGAAAATTCAAAAAACGCTAAAGAATAAAAAGTCTATACTCTGTAAGACATTACAGTTAGCTTTCAATAAAGTTTAAATGGGAGAAAAATAGCACTTGCAAGATGAAAATTATTTTTCTAACAAACTCAATGAAAAAGAAAACAGTAAGTACAGTTACAGAATATTTAGAGGAAAAATGCAATAATGAGAAAATGACATAAAAATTTTAACGCTAGTTAGAACAGTGCTAAAAGGCAAACACACAGTTGGAGGTACACTTCTTATTAAAATAAATGGACTGGCCCATTTAGCATTAGTGAAAGCAGGTAGAAAGAATTAGGAAAGATAAAAAGCAGAAGGTCAAGGGTAAAAATAGGTAAAATACAAATTTGTCCTGGAGGGTGTGGGGGTGGGTAAAAACCAAGAGAAATAAGTAAAAGCTTTAGCCAGTCTAATAAAAATGAAGAAAAAAGTCAGAAAGAAGTAACAAAAAAGCAAAAATAACTATAAATAGATTCTTAAAATCTAAACAATGTCAGAAATAATTTCTATAAATTTTCTATTTAGAAAATATTAAGTATTATTTACACTCAAGGAGTACTATAAGATCTAAACAAACAAAAATTTGTTTTTAAAAACTAATACTTAAAGAAATGCCTATAAAACAAACACCAATTCTACATAGTTCTAAGACAGCTCTTAATTTTTAAAAGATTGCAAGTTAATAGGTAGCTAGATCTAAACTAAGGCTTCTGAAGTGTTGTGTTTGGTTGTGTGGTGTGTGTGTGGTGTGTGTGTGTGTGTGGTGTTTGTACATATTAATCTAAATTAGCTGTAATGTTTCAACTTTAAAAGTCAGGGTATTTATATAATATTTCAGAATTGCAGCTTATCTTGAATAACTGGGATACCCTCACAACAAAGGCTCCTGTAGCAACCCATGTCTGCAGTAGAAAAGTGGCTGGTTCTTTGGCTATGGTAGTAACCCTGCTCATCCCAGTACTCCCAAAGCTACAGCAGCCTTCACTTACAGCACCCTCCCAGCCCATACTGCAAGCAGCCTAAGGCTGGTGTCTTCAATGAATATGACAGAAATCAATTCTCACCAAATTATCTTTAAATGTTTACATCAATTTCCATCAAGATCCAAAGATTTCTTTGGACGGGCTAGGAAGAAGTTAACAAATTAATTTTAAAGCTCTTTGAGAAAATTAAATGGTCACTCATTAAAAGAATATTCCAATAAAGAAAGACAGGAGATGTCAGTTAATGAAACATATCATAAAGCCACAACAATTACAGCCAAACAGAAAAGTCCATGGAACAGGTCAGGAAGCCCAGAAATCAATGCATACTTAAATACAATAAAGATGGCACTTGTTATCAGTAGAAAAGAATGAATGGTTCAAATCTATAGATGCAGCACAGTGTGCAAAGGACACAGCCTCTGGAGGCAGACAGCCTGGGCTGAATGGAATACCAGCAATGGCATAGCAGAACAGCCCTGGATGAGTCAGTCAGTGCCCCCATCTGTAAAATGAAGATAACAATTGCACGCTTTCCCATAATTGCTGAGATTATCTGTTAACAATTTGTAAAGTACTTAGAACAGTGACTAATATACTGAGTGTTATATATAAGTGAAGTTAAATAAGTAAAATAATTCATGGTAACATAATTCTTAACTACTGAAAGTGGGGTATTCAGTGACTGGGAGAATCTCCCATCATACCAAATTTTTTAAAAATTGCAGGGCTTGAAAAAGTGATTGATAAAACTAGGAGTTAAAAAAAGGACTGCCTAGCTGTAGATTGGGGAAGACCTTTCTAACTATGATATCAAAAGAAAATAGATTAATAAACCTGACTACATAAAAATTTTAGAGCTGCACATCAAGGACTAACAATTATAACAAAAATTTTAAATCAGGAAAAAAAAATATGTATCCCTACAAATGAGTAAGAAAAATTGTAATCAAGCAAGTCACAACAAATCCTTTGTATGTATGAGAAAATACACACATTGTTAGGAATTGAAAGCAAATTAAAATACTTTCAGCCATCAAGTTGACCAAAGTGGGCAGAGAAGCTGGTTCATTTCTACATGGAAGACTGAAAAATACACCAAGACAACCCTTCCAGGGACCACTTTATATGCTTTAAAAAAAAAGGGAGAGCTTTAAGGGGCTTAAAAAATTAAGCCCCTTGCCCTAATAATTCCATTTTTAGGATGAAGTTGGAACACAAGAATTTCAATAGAAATTTTTGATCCACCTTTTCAGATGAACCAAAATAAATGAAAGCAGGATGTGAAAAAAAGAAAACTTTCAGTTTCAAATATAAAGCTAAAAACTCACCTTCTAAAAATTCAATACTGTCCATGGTACAATTAACCTGTAATATTACCAAATTTCAAAAAATTTTAAAACAAACCTTTTAACAGCTTCCTTCTTTGGAATATCTATAATATCCCACCATTTTGAAAGGTAAGAGATTTCAGACCACATAAATTTCCTGCTTGAGTCTTCTTTCAGCTTTACGACCATGTTATTAAAAATATACTGAGTCTTGTCTCTGAAGTACTCATTGAATGTCTTCAACCAACCTAAATCAAGACACAAATACACCACAGAGGTCTGGTTCATAGGGCTGCTTTCAACTCAGTCACATTCCATTGTATTACCTTTACAATACCCTTTGATCTTTCATTCATATAAAGATATATTTAAATTTTTAACAAGTATTTTTAATTAATGAAATTCCATTTTTATTGACGAGTCAAATCCAGTAACATGAAATGATGAAAACTACACAAAAATTCAGATAGAAATGAGAAAAAATAAGATGGTCTAATACCAAAAAGCAGTTATTTAGGACCTAATAACTAATCCAATTATTTATCTCTAGTTTATGGATTTTTTTAATCCTAAAAATCTAAACAGTGCTAGCAAGTTGGTAATACTATTCTCACAATATGGGATCAAAACTGTTATCTTCTCCTTCACATCTAAAATTTCCTACCCACTAAATAAGTCAAACCAACCAAGAAAAACTAAACCTAAATGCCAGCAGCAGAGCAGTAAGGTAATTACAGCACTAATATGAATACTGAAAAGTAGAGTTCTGCCAATAATAGTCATTTGTTCCCAAAGGCTGTTCATTATTCAAATTTTTGGAAGCATAAAGTAACAACCAAACAAGAAATGTGTACACACCTATGTGTAATTTTTTTTCAAAGAGAACTGCAGGTATTGACAATTTGGTTCTCTGAATTTCCCTACTTCTCAAATATCCTGGAGAGTTTACCTAGCCACTAGCAATTTGGCTATAAGAAGCATTTTTAACAAGAATCACAGGTCCAAACACAGCCCCATTAGACTACTAACATGGTAAAGACTAACATACAAAGCCACCAATTTCAACTACTGGTGGTAGACAAAGTGGACTTCCTGGTAAATAACTTGTTCTTATCTCTGAAATCTTACAGGGAGGAGAGTTTCTGTATTTCCAGGCTGAGCTACTACTCAGTTGTTTCTAAAATTCATACATGTGAGAGGTTTAAGGGGTCCAAATGACAGTTTCTTTTGTCTGTCTATGGTTAACAATCAATAAATACTATATTTGCTGATTAAATAAGTACCTCCTAAGGCAGAAATGATAATAAAAGTTTTGACAACGCAAATATGTGCTTTTGAAAAGGGCACTGCAGCTACGTATGACTGCATTCATCCCTCTTGCTTTCACACCTTTGTTTTACAGTTATTTACTGAGCACCTATGCCATGTCAGGTATGACTCTCCGAGCCAAGTAGGAATACAGTGCAACATGTTCTTTACAGGACTTTCTCAATCTGGGCCACTTTTAATCTGGTTTGTTATCAAAGAATGTTTCCTGGATAATTTACCTTTTCTGTGCTTAACCAAACAGACTGTACTTCTTTAAAATATATACATAAATAACAATAAAAACATTCAAAGATATCTCAAGAAACAATGCTTTCCAAAGAATCCCATGTTGGACTAACATGGAGCCCTGCCTCAGAGAACTGAACCATGATATGTATCTGGGTTCCCAGAGATGAGCAAACAATCCAACCTACCTTCAAGTGGGGTCACCTAACTCTCTGCTATCCAGGCAATGCCCCTAAATTTAAAATCATCAAGTGCTCAGAACTGAGCCTGGGATATATGTAATGTAGCACCTGATGGACATTAACTGCTACTGCTTTTGTCATCATTTTCATCATCAGTCTTTAATCAACCTTCCCCAGCTGTACAATTAAACTAGGTGATGGAGAAATTAAAAAGGTATTTTTAACACCTAATTTTAAAGTATATAATTAAAATATTTAAATAAATTGATCCACATCTTAAACATACCCACAATTTCAGTGTGCATAGAATTCACTTGCTACATGGGCTAAATTACATCGTATATTGAATTCCTAACTCCTACTACCTCAGAATGTGATTGTATTTGCAGATAAAGTGTTTGAATAAGTAAAATAAAGTTTGAGGGAAGGGGGATTCTAATTCTATATGATTAGTGCCCTTATAAGAAGAGGAGATTAAGGACAGAGACACATACACAGAGAAGCCCATACAAAGACAAAGGGGGAACATGTCCATCTATAAGCCAAGGAGGGATTGCCCCAAAAGAAACCATCCTGCTAAATCCTTGATTTTGGAATTCTAACCTCTAGAACTGTGAAAGAATATATTTTGATTGTTTAAGACACCACTCAGTCTGTAGCCTAAGAACAAATTAGGGCAATTATCACTCAAAAAATGAAAGATTTCAAGACAGGAAGAATTTATGTCATCAAGTACCATCATAATATTTCTAATTCTATATCTACCTACACATTACAAAATTAAGCTGCACTCAAATGTATATAAGCAAATGTTATCAGGGTAACATGTTCTTTATACGTACAAAAAGGCTGTTCATTCACGGAAATTACATAAATTGGAATTGGACTCTATTGGAATTACCATCTTTAAGATACCACATATAACTTTAATCTAAATTTAATCAAAGGTCAAATTTAATTACTAATCACTAGGGTAGTCATTCAAGAACTATGAATGGCAGAATGCCTCCAAAATTAATTTAATAGAAAAACTCAAGTACTCTAGCATAAAAGGCAAATTTAGAACTAGTCTTTATAAAGATCAATATGTAAAAGGTTTTTATAATATAACTATGTATTTTCAACAGTTGTAATTTGTTATGGACTAAGATAATTTCAAAGACTAGTTTATCACAAGAACGTTCATAGAGGAATCACAATGACTGATTAATCCATTTTGCCTTCAACACTTCCTTTGCCCTTCAACAATCATGCAGAAAGTATGTCAAAGATATTTATGTGAGCCAAAATAAAAGCTCAGAGATGTCAACTTAAAAGCCTTCCATAAAACTCATCCATAATAGATATTAATACCACTACAATATAGCACAATTAATGAAGAATGAACTGAAGGATAGCCTCTTGCAGCTTTCAATATTGAGTAATATAACAGTAAATTAGCTTTTATTGCTCTTATACAATAGAGTAATCAAGTATTCCCTTTTACACTGAGTTGGTTCTTTCTTTTCTTAAATTACTGTAAAAACTACAAATGTATATTAACATGGGACCAATCAGAAAGAAAGTATTTTATGAAAAGTTGTATGGGATGAATTGTAACATAAAATTATATTTCTACCTCTAGATTTAAAAATCTTAGGAAATTGAGTTGCAAGATGATTTACTTAAGTCATCAATGGGACAGCTTTTTTCTTTCCCTTGAATATACTTGGAAATTGGACCAGGACTAGAACAGCATTCCAAATATCTTTCAATTTATTCTTTTGCACTGTAACAACACTTACCCTCCATAAAAGAGCTAATAGCTATTTTAAATAAGTGAAAAATATCTAAAACAATGAGTGTAAATCTAAACTCAATATTGCTATTTTAGTATTTTCTTAAAATGTAAGTTTTTTTTTTTTTTTGCATGTAAAATCAGTTTTTTTAATAACATCTTGCAAACAATGCATCCTTTGTCCACTTATCTACGGCTCCATGTCCATGACATGGGTGGTTGCCGTATGCACACACAGATTTTTTTTACCTCACTCAGAATGATGTTCTCCAATTCCATCCATTTACCAGCGAATGATAACATTTCGTTCTTCTTCATGGCTGCATAAAATTCCATTGTGTATAGATACCACATTTTCTTAATCCATTCGTCAGTGCTGGGCATCTTGGCTGTTTCCATAACTTGGCTATTGTGAATAGTGCCGCATAAACATGGATGTGCAGGTGCCTCTGGAGTAACAGTCTTTTGGGTATATCCCCAAGAGTGGTATTGCTGGATCAAATGGTAGATCGATGTCCAGCTTTTTAAGTAGCCTCCAAATTTTTTTCCAGAGTGGTTGTACTAGTCTACATTCCCACCAACAGTGTAAGAGGGTTCCTTTTTCCCCGCATCCTCGCCAACACCTGTTGGTGGTGTTGCTGATGATGGCTATTCTAACAGGGGTGAGGTGGAATCTTAGTGTGGTTTTAATTTGCATTTCCTTTATTGCTAGAGATGGTGAGCATTTTTTCATGTGTTTTCTGGCCATTTGAATTTCTTCTTTTGAGAAAGTTCTGTTTAGTTCACATGCCCATTTCTTTATTGGTTCATTAGTTTTGGGAGAATTTAGTTTTTTAAGTTCCCTGTATTTTCTGGTTATCAGTCCTTTGTCTGATGTATAATTGGCAAATATTTTCTCCCACTCTGTGGGTGTTCTCTTCAGTTTAGAGACCATTTCTTTTGATGAACAGAAGCTTTTTAGTTTTATGAGGTCCCATTTATCTATGCTATCTCTTAGTTGCTGTGCTGCTGGGGTTTCATTGAGAAAGTTCTTACCTATACCTACTAACTCCAGAGTATTTCCTACTCTTTCTTGTATCAACTTAAGAGTTTGGGGTCTGATATTAAGATCCTTGATCCATTTTGAGTTAATCTTGGTATAGGGTGATATACATGGATCTAGTTTCAGTTTTTTGCAGACTGCTAACCAGTTTTCCCAGCAGTTTTTGTTAAAGAGGCTGCTATTTCTCCATCGTATATTTTTAGCTCCTTTGTCAAAGATAAGTTGCTCATAGTTGTGTGGCTTCATATCTGGATCCTCTATTCTGTTCCACTGGTCTTCATGTCTGTTTTTGTGCCAGTACCATAAAATGTAAGTCTTAAAATAAAAAAACTAATGAAGTTGAAAAACCTATTTCCTATTTTCAATGTGTAAGAATAGTTAAGTTCCTAGTTAATATTCCAATATAAATATTGGAATCCTGATACACAGCTTGGATGTATTTTTTAAATTTTGGAGATCGGATTCTCTTAAGAAACGCACTTTTATTTGGCTCACAGGCATATACAGTGCCACTGTAAGCACCTTGGCAAGGGTATCTGACCCTGAGAGCTATATTCTAGAAGGATCTCCCCATTCTTCTTTTGATCAATCAAACCATTTCCGCTGAATAAATCCACAGGGCAAAGAACTTGCCCACCCAGAGCTTGCTCTGTCCTCCTCAGTGTCCTGAGTATCAAGGCCCAGAAATCTGTG